CAACCCTCTCGGGCTAGATTGAGGCTGTAAGTGAGCGTACCCCGGCCTTGAATCTCAGCGAGATGGGTACGGCGATAGTGTGTGGTAATGCATAATTCTGTTCACCAAACATGCTCCGTGCTTTTTTTCCACCTTGTTCAAGCTCTTCTGGGAGTAAACTGGAGAGCTAGCTGCGAGAAAAGGGAGTGAAGAGGACATTATCACACGCTAATGCCCAATTGAAACGAGGCTATTCCGTTCATAGCGGAAGCCAACACTAGAATCACGAATGAATACGGCATCACACTCACTTGTGCATTTACACCACCCGAGCGTCTGGTCCATGTCTCTTCCCAGGAACCGGTTTACTTGCCCCGACGATACCTGCAAGGTGTTTCATACCATGTCAGCGCGGGTTAGGCCCCCATCCATCACACCAGCCGAGAACCGGGGTAGCAAAGAATCGATTAAGACGGCCAGGGCATTGAATAAGGGGGGGTGAGGAGGATAGATAGCACGAGGGATCAAGTGAGAAATGGGGCGAGGCTGGCAATTGAGACTACGCATCCAGACTTGACAGCTCCTCTGTCGAAGAGCGATTTGTTGTGGGCATTTACCTGGGGAGCGCTGTCACTTGCATGGGGAATCCTTTGGGAAGAATGGCATGTTACATTGAGCACGCTCCAGGAACCCTCACTCACCACATGTAGAGCACGGTAGGTAGGTATATCCAGGCCGTTGTAAGGCCATCCCCATATCGCATGTTGGTCAAAGCATAACCCAGCATCGCAGGGAAGGGGGAGCATGTGAAATACAGACCGGAAGACAAGGGACGAGATCCGCCACAGGGGGCGTGGGCGAGAATAAGGATGCGATACATGTAAAATCCCCGTTTAGCTCGCCGCCGGTGGCCTGCCTCCCAAGCGTACAGAGCACGACACACCAAAGCCATCAGCGATCCATCATCCGCGTGTCACTGGAGAATCAGAAGAGGCAAGCCTAGCTCTACATCTCAGGGCAAGCGCAGCAGCTCCCTGGGAAAAACAAGTCCAATTACGTTGAGGACAGCTAACCGCAGTCGGGCAGGGCTCCGGGCGGAAGACGAGGCCAAATGGCACAAAAACCCACCCTCGAATTTTGAAGAAGCGCGCTTTCGTTCCCCTCCGCCGTTTCCAGTGCGATTCCTTCCCGCAGCCACGCCGTCGACAACGCCCACCCCCACGAGTCGAGCGGCTGGTCGCCAAAACCAGCCTGACGGGAGTGCCGGGCGGCGTTCTCAGCGTGGCCAGCTGGGGCCTCTTCAGCCTGTCGCCATGGAGGAGTGACCTTCTCAGCAGGCAAAACGGGGCGGATAGCGCAGAAACCGGCCTGCCGTAGCGCGTCGCCCTCGTAATTGCAGGGCTTCGATGCGCCACCACCCGCACCACCACACCACACACCTGATGGCACCCAGACTGTGGCTTTGCAGGATTCTGCTGCCATTAATACACACCATTTATACGTGTGACATGATGTCGATAGACATGTATGCAAATGGGGGTAAGGTAGGCATGTTCTGTATGCAAGAGTGCGCCATCGACGCCACCGAGACAAAAAGCCCGAACTGGAATCACATCACATCGCCCGGGCTCGTCTCGCCCGTCCCTTGTTTCACCACGATGACTCTGCATTCGCTTGGACCCCAACGCCGCGCCGCCGTTGTTATAGGCGTGCCCGGCGGCAATGGTACTGGCCACCGTTATTTTAATTCTTCCTTTTTCTTTTTTTCCCCTTCGCCTGCTCCGCGCACGAGGCGCCCAGCTGCAAGGGACAACCGAGCCACGAGGAACGTCCCGCCGGCGCAATGGAAGAGGCTAGGTAGAAGATCGAGGCGAACGTGGCCGCCCGTTGAAGCTGACTGCCCACGGCTGTTCCTGGCAGGTAATTGGCAGGTTCTAGTGTATTCATCTCACCTCGAAACCCTATCAGATTGCACGGGCAGACCTCCAGCATGAGAAGGGCACGGGCGCGGCGGATTCATTCCTGATTCTTTGCTTCTTTGGCCAGGCTTTTCTTTTTCTCACTGCATCAGATGGTCCCCTCCCTCCCAACGCCGAGCATAATCTTAACTGCCCAGTGTTAATTTGAGAGGGAGACACTAATGCGGCCCTGCAGCCCGTCACTCTCTAGGTGAGCACAAAGCAAATCAATCGTACGTTGTAGACGTATGTATGTCTGAAGTGGGAGCTTGGCTGTCTCGGGAGAAGGAGGGCACGCTCCGCATTGATGTATTCCTAGTCTGGAGATGTGAATGAATGTGCATGCATATGTCATATGTATATGTATATGCCGTGTATGTCGTGAGAAGCTATCAAGTCTCCACCCAGTATCTATCGTCCCAAGATCGTCATCATAAACAAGTCAAGACCAAAACAAAGATCAACAACTAGACTATATCCATGCGGTGAGACAGTGTGATCAACATTGTCTCCCGTCAGATGTCTACATAACATATGTATGTGCGAGTAAATGCTTGATAGACCAACGAGTTGTATATTTTTTGTTCCGTTCTAAAAGTCAAATTCGGGCCGGAAGATGGCTGGATCAACACCAGCAACAGTCTTCTCAGCTAGATCTCGCCTTCCCATCTGTGTAAACACTCTTCGTAACGTGTCGTATAAGGTGCTGCTGCGGTTCTGTGCTGACATTCGGTCCAATACCTCGTCGACCTGTCCGCCGGCACCGTCGCCGAGAATCTCATATGCCTTGCTACGGCCTGACTTCTCAATCGCCTTGTGCATGTCGAGAGCGGCCAAGAAGTGGCACGCCGCCTCATGGTGGCAGTTAATGTTGATGCAGCTGACGCCCAGGTTATAGCGTGCGCGTACAAAGTTCGGCGCTTGCGACAACGCCTGTTCGTATGCCGCGATGGCCTCCTCTGATCGGCCGCTGTTCGCAAGTGTAGCGCCCAGTCTGTTCCACAGAAGGTGAACCTGCTCCTGTTGGTTTGTAGATCCCAGTTCCGAAGAATGAAGGGCCGACTGAAAGCAGTCGACTGCTTTCTCATACTCCTCAGCACCGTAGAATAAGACACCAAGACCAACTTGCACATCGGGATCCATATGTTCTCCGTCGGGGCTCAGCTGGGCTGCCCGGATGAAGGACTCTGTGACCTTCTTGTGAAGCTGTTGTCGATCTGTGAAACCCGTATCACCTGGAGGGTGCAGGTTCTTGGGGTCCATGATCTGCGGATACTTGACAGATAGCCAGCGTTCAAGTGTTCGATACGCAGTGCTGTCATACCCTTCATTGGTATAGGACACTGCCAGGCCCATGAGAGCTGTGAGGTTATTTGGGTCGAGTTTCAACGCCTTCTCCAGAGCCCGGATGGCCGCCGTCTCCTTCTCGTTCTGTGCCTGGGCAGTACCGAGATACACCCAGGCTTCGACGTGGTCGGCATTTCGCTGTACCGCAGCCTCAAATGCCAGGGCAGCCAGCGACAGGTTCCCGCCCTCCTTCATGATCCGCACACCTTCCTCGAACGCATTCTTCTCCTCTCGGAAGATATTCTCTTCTTCGAACATGTAGCTTTCGACAATTGGGTCTCCGAATCGTCCCCAGTCATTCACGCCTTGAAAATCGGGCATGACGTCGTTGTTCCATCCGCCTTCGTCGAAATGATCGAACAGGTTGTCTTCGGCAACCATAGACCTAGCAGCAGCCGTCTCAGCTTGTATTCCCTTCCAGATAGATTCGAAGTCACCGAACTCATTGGTTTCAGACTGCATAGCCTTGTCCATGTCCTCCAGCTCCTTCTCCGCAGCGATCGCCTCCTCCTTGTCTTGTACCTCGAGTTGGGCAAACTGTTCTTCCCATTTAGTATCGTCAAGCTCGACAAGCTTTCCCTTACCCTTCCCCTCAGCCTGCTGCGGTTGCTGCATGTTCATCATCTGCTGATTCTGGTACATGGGCTGGAACATGCCCTGCCCCATGCCCATGCCCATGCCCATCATCCCACCTCCGAGCATCGGTCTTTGTTGCAACTGGCTGGGAGCGCTGCTCTGTAGCGGCGCCGATGCCGAGGACGCGGCAGGATTTTGGCCCATCTGTCTGAATCGAGCAAACTCCTCGGGGCTGAACTGGGCTCCGGGAGGCGGCTGGAAAGCCGAGTCCATCCCCGGCTGGGTGTGAAAGTCCTGCGCCCACGACGGTGAGGCCGACGCCGCCCTCATTTGCGGCATCGCATTCAGCCCTGCAGGGCCACCGGCCATTGCCTGTTCATGTTGGAGACTCGGCCCGCTGTTGAGGAATCCGTTGACCATCTGCAGGCGAGAATATCAAGTCAATTAGCGCTGGATATTGATAGCCGATAGCGGCGGGGTGTGATCTAGGAACCTCATCTTGAGGAGCATGCGCGCTCTGCGTTCGAAAGTTCATCTGGCCAGCAGGCCCGCGCCCGACGAGTCGGTCCCTCTGCAGAGTCTTGTCATCTTGAACGTGCTTCTGGAACTGGCTCAAAGGGTTTCCGGCCGTGGAGCACTCGGCCCCTCCCATGAACGACATGTTGGAAAGCTGATCTCGGTGGGGGCGGTTCGAAGGCTAAAAGAACATCACCGCATGAAAAGTAACAGGGTTGTCGATGTTCACAAGGTGATGTGGTGCCTTGGGGAGGGGGGAGGTCGTTGAATGGATGGCGAAGATTAATAATGCAGCATGTGAGTATTAAGGTACAGCGAACGAAACGGCGAGTCTATCGTTGGGTGACGTCCCAATCGCAACCGTGCCGAGTTGGGAAGGACTGGCCGGCGGGTGGGGGGTTAGTGCCGAGGCAGGCCAGTTGGTTGGTAATCTCGAAGGGGGGTTCGCTCTCCGCAAAGTTAGGATAGCCTTAGCGCACGTGACGGAAGGACTGCCGAGAAAAAGGTACGTACCCATTATCGATAACGATTTTTTTTGCTGTCTGAAAAAGATATTGGCGAAGCCAGAAGGAAGAGTGGCAGCTACCAATCTGTTTGTGTTCGCATTCAATCCAAAAATACGCCATGCTCCGAACAGTGTAGGTTCAATTGATCATCCCACATTCTCACAAGCTCTATAAGCTAACATCTTCCTTCCAGCAAACCTCGCAATGCCCGCTCCAAGCGGGCTCTCGAGAAGCGCGAACCCAAGGCCATCGAGAACCCAAAGACCTGCCTCTTCCTCCGGGGAACGACCTGCTCCCAGGTGACACAGGATGCCCTGACCGAGCTTCACTCCATGCGCCAGCCCCTGGCCAAGAAGTTCACCAAGAAGAACGCCATCCACCCCTTCGAGGACCCCGCCTCGCTCGAGTTCTTCTCTGAGAAGAACGACACCAGCCTGCTCGTCTTCGGCTCCAGCAGCAAGAAGCGCCCGCACACCCTGACCCTCGTCCGCACCTTCGCCTTCAAGGTCTTCGACATGCTCGAGCTCTCCCTCGACCCGGAGACCTTCCGCGGCCTGACGCAGTTCAAGACCAAGAAGTTCGCCGTCGGCCTGCGGCCCATGCTCCTCTTCGCGGGCACCGCCTTCGAGAGCCCCGTCGCCAACGAGTTCACGCAGGCCAAGAGCTTCTTCGTCGACTTCTTCAAGGGCGAGCCCTCGGACAAGATCGACGTCGAGGGCCTGCAGTACGTCGTCTCCATCACCGCCGAGGAGACGGCCGGCGAGGGCGACGCCAAGCCCGCCATCCACCTGCGCACCTACCTCATCCGCACCAAGCGCAGCGGGCAGCGGCTCCCCCGCGTGGAGGTCGAGGAGATGGGCCCCCGCATGGACTTTCGTGTCGGTCGTTTCAGGGAGCCCGATGAGGCCACGCGCAAGGAGGCCATGAGGAAGGCCCGTGGATTGGAGGAGAGGACCAAGAAGAACATCACCACTGACTCAATGGGTGACAAGCTTGGTCGCGTCCACGTTGGCAAGCAAGATCTCAAGGACTTGCAGACAAGAAAGATGAAGGGTCTGAAGAGGAGTAGGGACGAGGACATTGAGGCAGAGATCGAGGAAGATGACACAAAGAGGATACGTCAGTAAAACAGGTCATGTTGCTTTTCTCGTCGTGGAGTTTAGGCGTCTCAAATGATATAATATTTCAAAATTGATTTACTACTATTTTGATTGTGCATGTAAACAGTGCCTGAGGCGGGGGAAACCCAATACCTCCAAGAATATAAGTTGCTAAAGATTCCTTCTATGTACTCAACATGAAAACAGGCATCCAGAGGTGGCAGGATACTGACAAGCCACCAGCGGTTGCATCGCCCATTTTTGCGCCATTCCAATCATTCTCCCAAAATTCGACTTCTAGTGAAGGCTCTGTGTGTATATCGCTATTTCAAACAGAAGTAAGAAAAACTAACAGAGCTGTGTCGCGGGCATTAAGCCTTGCTCAACTCCAGTCAACTATCATTTCATAACATATATAGGTAGATTTCAATTCGGTTCATAAGACCATCGTATCGGTGTAAGTAAATAGGAAGAAGGGACGAGCAGCGAGCAGCAGCTAGTCAGGGGACTCCGCCGTGAGGGGAGGAGGAGGATCCCCTATGGGATTAAAGGCTGAGGCCAACTGCTCTGGCGCCTGGCCCATCAGGTCAGCCATCAGCTCAATATGGCTCACGAAGCCCTGGGGCGCAGCTGGTGCAGCTGCGTCAAACTCGTGGCCCCAGATGTCGGGTGGGATCGTGGTACCATCCCACAGAGCTATCCTGATGGGCCACTCGAGGTGACGCCACCATTTAGAGCCGGACTCGAACAAGCCAACCAAGCCCATAACTTCTCGGCGCGATACGTCCGTGAGCCACCACACATCATCCATACGCTTCAGTAATGCGAAAAAGCAAGCTAGGATGGCCAAGGCCCGCGGTCGCTTTGCCTCCACAAGCTCAACGTACCGTCGTGCAACCGTGGATGGGAAACTAAGAGAAGCGGCTGGGAAGGTACTGCGATGGGCCCAATTCAATACACACACAGCATGAGTATAAGAACGACCCGTGGTTTGCATCATATGCGGATCCTCTGTGGCAAGTTCTTCATCCAGGCCCTCAAGCAGATGCCCGAAAAATGAGCCCACGCCTGATGGATTCAGATTCAACTGCAGGCCGGGTTGGGAGTCAATGACGGCTTTTACAATAGAGCTGCTTCGGATCCATAACCAGGAGCTCGCAACAATAGTTTTAACGCCCTGGAAAGCATGAAACCACGGCAGTGGCAGTGCATAGCGAGAGCTCGGATCATCCGGGTCCGCATCTGTATCGTCCTTGGCAAATATTCGAGAAGCAACCGACTGGAATGCTATTAGGGTTGCTGTAAGAAATAAGGCCTCGGCATTTTCTGCGTTTATACCCTTTTCTAAGGAAGCACAGTACTCTGCCAAGGTCGAGGCTGTGTAAGCGTGCGAGGCCCTCACCAGGGCCTTGTCTTGCGGATTCTCGGATCGAAGATGTAAAGCTGCCACAGATAGAATGGCGTCTGCGAGGTACTGCCTACCTTCAAATGCCATGTTGGGCACGACTCGCTGCCATACTTCGTCCACTTCGGGGGAGTTATTAAGGAGTGTCTTGGCCGTAACGTTGGTGTACTGGTGCATAAGCCGCAGCTCCATTAACCTATCTGCTTGGTTCGAGGTGTTTGGCCGTGTTAAGTTGGTCGGTTGTGAAAGCAAGGCGGGTGTGATGGGCTCGAGGCCTGGTGATAATCGACCGGCGGCTACAGGAATCGGAGGCTGCATAGGTATCGGGGTTGAAGGGACGGTCGAGACGCTGACGGGAGTCGCCACAGGGGCCAATTCGTCCGCGACTTCGGGAGCTTCGAAGTCGCAAGGAACGCCGTGTTTGACGCAGTTGCCGCATCTCGGGTGAACCTCATCGCACTGCAAATCGAGCCGAGCTAGTTAGTGGCATGATACCGATCTTCACCGCAGCGGGGCCAACCAACCTTGATCTTGCGGACTTTGCACCTCCGGCACCCGGCGCGAGACTTCTTGTGTGATCTTCGAGGTGGCATGGCGTCGTGATTTGTCTTGAAGTTTGGTCAACTATGTCACCTCGACGAGGCATTGACCACCGAGGCAGATGTAACTCCGGGTTGGACGTAAAGCATGGCCGCGGAGGCATCCGACAATTACTCTCAAGGCTCTAGCAGCATTGGGGGTGGGAGCTGCCTTGCTGCGAGCTGGATAGCAAACAATCTAGGGTTCCGTGCCTGCTTGGCTCAGTTCGTCGTAGCAGTTCTAAGCATGCATGTGTCGGTTGACCGACGCAGGTGAATTAGGGGACGACTAGCTTAGGTGCACGTCGAGAAAAGTCGGGGAACCGATTCAGGACTGCGATTGGAGGAGGCTTCCAAGTCCAAAGAAGCGGTAATGGCTTGTCCTCCCAGCCTCATTGCACCGCATGTTTGTAGGCAGCAGCTGTTGTGTGTTGATTAGTAATGGAGCTGCCGCAGGTGCATGCGCCACAAGCTGCCATCACCATATCGGTTTTGGGGTGGCTCAGGCCGACAGAGCCAACATCCCCTCATTTCCGCCTCACGTAATTCAATCAGAAAAAAACTTGGGTTCAGGCACTGATCCCATTCTGTGTCACACTGCTGTTAATTTCACTCCGTGATTCCAGACCAAATTCTCACAGGGGCAAATGACCAGGATGGCGCAATTCACCACACTCAATCAGTCCACGCATGATGAGCTAATCGCCAAGGCCCTCCTACCCTGTGGCTGTGAAAAAAAATAGTGCAAAATTCCTCTCTATCGAGCAGGGACTTCTGAGAGGATCACGCCGCACGTGGTTCATACAAGACCGAATCGGTACAATGGCCTCCTGCCAGGCACTAGTCGACATTCGTACAGTTGGGGTTTGGCTCCGGAATCCCGCTCCGAGCTGATGATATGAAGGGTTGCACCAGACAGGGTCTTTGTATCTTCTCTGCTATCTTGGTGAGATGTATTGCAACGCACAGAACAAGCCAGACCGTCCCTTATCATGACTCACCGCCGAGAACTGGCCGGAACATTGACCAGCAGCAAAGACAACCTGCTTCGTAGGGGTTTTCCTTGGCTGGTAGCGTGATTGATTGGTGTTTAAGATGTGACCAGCCAAGCGAGCCAGTAGAGGGAGATAACGATGATGTGATAAGTTTAGGTTTAGATATGCAACAACTGTCCAAGAAAATTTGACCGCCACTTGGCTCATCACCAAAAAGTCAATTAACAGGATCGCGAGTTGTCTTCAAAACATGGCTGTCTCCCTTTACCTCTGCGACGCCGGCTTACCAACCAGCGACGATTGGTCTCAGATACAGTTTGTGCTCAGCTAAGCAGGTGTGCAACCATGTACCCCAGGAACCAACGCAAGGGATCACCGTTTCCAGGCACGGCTGAGATCCATGTGTGTACAAAAAGGTAGTGCAGGTGATCACTACGTAGCCATGTACGTACTCAACCAGCGATAGCCTATCGGGCGGTTACTGAGGATTTCCACCTCCGGTGACGCAATTGCTGCTGAGACCTTCTGCATTCCAGAAGAATCGCATTCTGCTTACACCATCCCGTATTGCATGTAATTTTCTCAGCAGTTGCAGGGTCAATGGCAAAGAGGCATGTGCTCGGAGTAGATGCGTTGCCTTGGGCTGCTGTGACTAATAGGTAAGAGGGTGTCTACTCCGAACACCCTCATCCGGATTTTCCCTATCACATCATTCGTGTATCGGTCGTCCATGTCAGGGCCATGCGCAGCAGTCGATCGGAAGGCTTCCTAAAGGCCCAGGCGCACGGCATGGAAGCACGCAATACAATGACACCATTTTTAAAGTTGAGCTAGGTGGTGACCGTCTCACACGGGCACCGGCAACCACAGTCCCACCGTGTTGTTGTTGGAGGTGATGGGGTCTCTTTGTTATACTTTATAAGCCCGGAGCCATCGTCTCTAGCTGCTGGATGGATTGGCCTCTTCTCTCCAGCTTGCGAACAACAATCATCTCTCTCCTCATACCTCTTGTCTGCCGCGACGGGAAGATAGTGCTACGACCCCTCCTTAATATATACTGCTTCTCCTCCTCCATCCCGCCCGAGCAACTCCTGCCATAAACAGTTTGGTGACAGTTCCACTTCGGAGTAATCCTCCAGGCCAAGCACCAGACTACTCCGGAACCCATTGGCCCAGCAGAGCATTGCGCTTCACGCGCCCTGAGAAAAGCAGCAAACGTGGGGTCACAAGGAAATTTTCGCACGACAAGTTTTGTGCTGCCGCAATTGACGATATTCCCTGCTTGATATTGTATTTGTAAGGCGGCTCACCGGTCCCCGATAGCCTGCCTGCGCTGCAACGGGCGTGACTCGAGGACGTATATTTACTCCGCTATTACGTCTGAGTCTGAGCGGCAACTTGTTCTTGCTCTCCCTTCCTCCATCCGCCTAGCTTATAAGTTCTGCTTCTTTTCTTCTAGCGCGAAGGGGAAAAGTCAGTCCAGCATCACACAGCTCTAATATCTTCCTTTCTTCCCATCTCAATTACAAAATGTCGCCTTCGGTGGTGGTCGACAACGTGGCGGTTGAGACGCCGCCCCGTCCGGCATCGCCAGAGCACGGATTCGGCACTCTAGCAGTTCACGCCGGCGCTCCCCTGGACCCTTCCACCGGCGCTGTCATCGAGCCCATCTCTCTATCCACCACCTTCGCCCAGACTGCTGTTGGTCGTCCCGTCGGTGCCTACGAATACTCGCGTTCGAGCAACCCAAACCGCGACAATTTCGAGACGGCCGTCGCAGCCCTCGAGCACGCCCGTTATGCCCTGGCTTTTTCCAGCGGTAGTGCTACCACGGCCACTATCCTGCAGAGCCTGGCTGCCGGTTCCCATGTCATCTCAGTCTCGGATGTATATGGCGGCACCCACCGTTACTTCACCCAAGTCGCGAAGGCCCACGGTGTCAGGGTCACATTCACACCCGAGATCGAGGTCGACGTCAGCGAGCACATCAATGAGCAAACCCGCCTGATCTGGATCGAGACCCCCAGCAACCCCACGCTGCGTCTCGTCGACATTCGTGCCATCGTCTCCGTGGCCCACCGCCACGGCGTCCTTGTCGTTGTCGACAACACCTTCCTGTCCCCCTACGTCCAGAACCCTCTCGACTTTGGCGCCGACATCGTCGTCCACAGTGTCACCAAGTACATAAATGGCCACAGCGACGTGGTAATGGGCGTTGCCGCCTTCAACTCCCCCGAGCTCAAGGAACGTCTCAGCTTCCTCCAGAACGCCATTGGCGCTGTGCCCTCTGCCTTTGATTCCTGGCTGGCCCACCGTGGCCTGAAGACGCTCCATCTGCGAGCTCGCGAGGCCACCAGCAATGCTACTGCCGTTGCCGCCGCTCTCGAAGCCTCACCACATGTGATCTCCGTCAACTACCCGGGCCTGGACTCCCATCCCCACCGCCACATTGCTCGCAAGCAGCACCGTGACGGTATGGGAGGCGGCATGCTGTCTTTCCGCATCCGCGGTGGTCACGACGCTGCTGAGCGCTTCTGCCGCTTTACCAAGATCTTTACTCTCGCAGAGTCCCTGGGAGGCATCGAGTCCCTCGTTGAGCTGCCCAGCAGCATGACGCATGCCGGTATTCCCCGGGACCAGAGAGAGGCCGTGGGTGTCTTTGACGACCTGGTCCGTGTCAGCTGCGGTGTCGAGGATGCTGAGGATCTCAAGAGAGATGCTCTCCAGGCCGTGGAGAAGGCCGTGGCTGGAGCCAAGAATGGCACCAACGGTTCTGACTAATTGCCGTATCTTGCATACGCGCCGAATAAAATATAGAGGAGGAGGAGGAAAACAGGAGGACTCGAACTGAGTTAGTGGTTATTGGGATCATATGTTTGTTTTGTTATGTTATTACTGTTAGACTTTCCTCTTTCAACGGAAGTGGAGGAAGACTATGAGGCCATGATGAGATGCTATTTCAACCATACTTCTATGACTTGTGGAAAGCTATGGGTTTGCTTGGGAAAAGGGATGTTTGAGTTGTTACAAACTCCCGGCGATGAATAAAGATTATTACCGTGTTAACACTATACGTCCCCTATCGACGTATGCCAGGTGAAGCGTATTGTATCGAGCCCACCTCTTTGACCTACCCTGGATCGTCGGGTCGCTCTGCGGTTTTCATCTAACACATGTCTTTAGACTTATCAATTGAATGGGTGGGGAAATTTCTACCATCATCCGGCAGAGATGAACCTTTCGTTGTACTCTGACTGCATTCGTCGGCCATTGGAGGGCATGGCAAGACAGTTCACACCACCATGTGTTTGAATTCTCGCCTCGATTCGTGTAAGCTCAAGGGTTAGACAAGAGCGTTGAAAGCGACGAACCTGCAAACAAATACATAGTAATTCTAGAATTCATGGACCCATGGTAATTTCCCCAGTATATGACCGACAACAACAATTTCCACTCTGAAAACACATTCCAGAAGCCGTATTTGTGGACATTACTCTGAGTCTTCAAATCTCACAGCAGCCGTGCCTACCCTGCAGCAATACAAAACAACAGGAACCATACATCACACCGTGCTGCAACAAAGGACTGCATGAAAGGTGCGTAATCGAATGGCTACTCATTCCACATCTTGTACTGTGCCACCACAGTCCATTATCCTATGGTTTTACCCGGGTCTATCTGAGGTGTTTCACACTCATCTGGCACAGGCAGATGTGTGACCTTTCACGTTCTGGAGCACACATAATAATAATTTGAGGTTTCGCATTGATGAAATTTCGGGACCTCTGCATTCTCAAGCAGACAGTCCCTTCAATTGAGTAATTTGCCCTTACTGCCGATGTGGGGTGTTACAAACGTGCAGATGCAGGACGAGATATAGATATTACCGCTGTTTGATATGCCATGCCGACTTGGCTTCGTTGCTTGGTGGACAGTGCAGATCGTGATCGAGCCACCAGGATCCATTAATTTTCGGGGCAAGTGGTTGGGATGCGGCAAGGTGGGGGAGATACGAGTGAA